TTACCATCCCATACAGATTTAGGCTGCTGGACTTTCAAATACATCATTTTTAGTGATCTGTCTTTCCCTCTATTCCAGCTCTGATCAAGACCATGGCTCCAATACTCTTGCTTTAGTGCTGGGCCCCGTTGCTGCCCTGCTCCTGATCATTGTGACAGCTTTTGCCATCGTTAAATACAGGCAGATGAAGAGATCTGGTGAGTCCCTGCCTTTCTTGCCTCTCAAGAAACATCAGCAATATTAAGATGATGTGTCTTTGCTGGGCTGAGCTGCTCTCCTGGTCACCCACCATGTGATGGGCAGGGAAGGGACCTTGCTGGTCCCACTGACCCCATCCTTGGAGCTCCAACACCCAGGACAGAGTGCCCAGCTGAGACAGAGCCCACCCCTGGGTGTGCTTTGCACCTTGTGTCCCACAGCATCGCCTGGCACAGAGGGTTCAGGTGCCAACGTGCTCCTACCAGCTCTAAAAAGAGGATTTATTTATTTTCCCCCTCTCTTACCAGACCTGGTGTCCATTGGGAGCTACAGGACGAACATCAGCATGTCAGACTTTGAGAGTGTGAAGGATTACAGTGCCAGCAACAGCGCCTGTGTGAAGGAGAGCCAGGAGACTGCCATGGGAGGGGACGGTAGGGTGCTAGCTCCAGCCCCCCCCGGGGTCAGGGGTCTGCAGAAGGACCCCACAAAAGCCACAGAAGTGCTGCCCACCACTGCCCCCCTCCCTAACACCTCCCTTTGCCTCCCTGCAGAGTTCACCACCAAGGACACCCCGGAAAGTGCTGCCGAAGTGAAGAAGGCAAAAAGGGTAAGAGAAGGCAGGAGAGAGGCCACTGACCTGGGAGACACAGCCACAGCCCTCCAGTCTCTGCCAAAGGGGCTGCCTTCCTCCAGGGGCCTTATTTATACCCAGGTGCTCTCCATCTTACCTGGATTCAGCACCTGCTGCAGATCAGCCTCTGTGGGAAGGACCTTACCCCTTTCCTGACCCCATGTTCTAGTGGAGACAGTAACAGCACTCACCTTGCTTCAAACAGTAAACCAGCTCAGCCCCAGGTTGCATCAGGAGAGTTGGGGTTGTTACCATAGATGTGAAACACTGGGATAAGCAGTTGGCCAGAAAACAGAGCACATCCCACCTTCCAACCCTCCCACACGTGGGCAGTGGTTCAGGGGGCACAGGTGGGCAGGGAGGGCTCTGCCATTGCAAGGGCTGTGACTTGTTCTTGTGATCCCTGCCTTTCCCTGCCTCTACTTTTCCCTGCCCTCTACTCCCCCCTCTCCCTTTGGGGAAGGTCATGGTCAAGTGGCAGCACTCAGAGCAGTAGCTGAAGGTGCCAGATGCAAGCCTGTGTTTTTCCAAGTCCCTACGCACAGGTGAGATGTGGGTGTTGTAAGTGCCAAGAGCTGGACTGGAGCAATAAAGGAAAGAGGAAACCAGTAAAGCCTGGCAGCTTTAGGACAGGGAGCTGGATGCCAACACACAGGGACAGGCTTGCCATGGAGTCCCAAACCCACAAACACTTGGGGTCTTCCCGGGGCCGAGCAGAGGAGTGATGCTCATATCAACACTGACATGACCCTCTGGATCCTCCCACTCATCCACTCTGCCCGTGTCATCCTGAGACCCTCACAGCCCACAAAATGCTGCCACGTGCTGCTGGCCATCCCCAGCCACCTAACTGTGTCCTCCTGTCCTTCCCCAGAGCTCCAAGGAGGATGCTGACCTCGCCTACTCCACCTTCCTCCTCACCTCGGGCAGCATCGCTCAGGGCAGCTCCGGGGGGGACAGCACTGCCCTGGATGTGTCCCCCTCCCAGGAGCAGGTCTGAAGGTCAGGGATCGAGAGGAGGCAGCGACTGGGACCGGCTCTACCTTAAGGATCACACCAAGCCATCAGCAAGCACACACACTGTTCAATGCTACCACGATTTGCTATAGCTTGATCTCTTTTTTTTTGCTTAAATTCAGCTTCGAGCGGTGATTTAGGAGGAATTGTTTGATGCCAAATGGGGCTGGGCTGGAAGTGCAGAGTCTGAGTGAGCAGGTTGGACTGGGAGACCAAGTGGCTCATCCCACCAACAGTTCCAACAGAGTGGGCTCTCATAGGGCAGAAGGCACATTTTAAAAACGTCCCATTTTCTTTTAAAGGCAGCTGGAAAACCCTTTAGAACAGCATCTGATGCTTTTGATTCCTCTAAGCTTTCTCAACCTGAGGGCAGCACCTGCAGGCCAGACATGGCCTGAAGTGTTCTCATGCACAAGCAATAAAGAATATCAGTGGCTTTCAGCAGACCAGGGAACTCAATCCGTGGGAGAGCACGGGGAGATCACACCCAGACAGACACAGTGAGGGTGGGACAAGCTGAATATTCCACAGATAAAGCAATGTAGGAAGCAGCAATGATGAAGAAGTGATGAAGCAGAGAAGCAATTTTCCCTGAACACCAGGAAGGGGATAGGCTGGTGCCTTACCTGAAAAAGAGGGCTGTGGAAGGGTTTGACAGGGCCAGGGCAGAAACTGCACAGGAATTCAAATTCCTGACCTTGTGCTGCTGAAGTGCAGCTCTGAGACCAAGCCATAAAATATAAAGACTGAGAAGCATCACCCTGGGTAGGGTCTGATGTGACTGTGTTACAGTAACACCACACAATATTTCTGGTTTAGTAAAGTATTAGCTGCGTTTAAAAAAATGAAAACAGTGTCACAGCTCAGGGAGGTGCTGGAAAATGGCTGTTACCTGAGAGACACTGAGTTTCACCAAGGATGAAACACAAATTATTCCTGAATCATGGACTTCCCCAGAGGGCAGCAGCCCCAACAGCATTTGTGTTTTCACATCCCCAGTGCAACAGTCATCACCTCACCGATAGCAAGGCTGGGACCTCAAAGGTCAGGTTACAGCTCACCTACCTCCTCTCCAGGGCTCCATCCCCTCATCAGGATGGTGGGAAGGGGTTTGGATGTTGGAAAAGGTGTGGAGGGGCCAGGACAGGTCTGTGCCTGCCCGGAGTTGCTGGAAGTGAATGACTGACGCTGCTGGAAAGTGTCCCCGGGGCTGAGCAGTCACAGAGCGGCAGGAGAACGCTGAGGTTTGGAAACTTCTGAGAGGAGAAAACCCCTTTTGCTCTCCCTTTGTGAATCCACTTCCTCTTCAGCCTGCCCAAAGGCACCCTTCCCCAGCTCCCACACTGCCCTGGGAGCAGGTGGGATGAGCTTAATTCCCGGGAGAGGAGCAGGAGTTGAGAAAGGACTGAGCATCCTCTCAGCCCTGGCAGCTGCCTGCCTGAGACCCCTGCTCCTTCCCACTGTTGACACTTCCAGCTGGCACCTCAATTCCAAAGGGGAATGGCCCTGGGCTGCTGCTGTGCTTTGCAATGTAAAATCCCTGGTTTTGATGGAAGCAGCAAAGCAGGCGTGGGTTGGGGCGTGCAGCACTCTGCACAGGCTGGGAGCAGTGAACAGGATCAATAGTCAGGACTGTGACAGCATAAGCTGAGGACGTGGAATAAAACCCACACATCTCACTCAAGCTGTGATCCAGAGCCCTTCACAATCCATGGAAAAGTCCACAGGGAGCTCACCTGACTCTTCACCAATGTGTCAGCTGATTTTCAGAGGTCGGTGGCGAGCTGTGGTATCTCACTGCATCACAGCATCATTCCCAGTGATTATTCTTTAACAGGGAATCATGGTATGGGCTGTACCTGTGGGGTCTTAAAGGGTTGGTTTCAAGAGTGATGGAGCTGAAATATCACTTTTCAGAGCCTGGAGGGATGTATTCACCCTGACGCCTGGACAAATGAGAGTCACTGAAAAAAAAACCATAAGAACGCAAATTAGAAGAATCAAAGCCCTGAGAGGCTTCCCTTTGGCCTAAACAAAGAGCTGAGGAAGGACAGTGAGCAATCAGGGAGACCTTTCCTTTGAAAGTGAATCACCAAATCTGATTTGATGCCAAAAGCCTGACCAGGGTTCTCCTGTGATGGAGATTAAACCAAAGCAGGAACTCAGTTGTCTTTGGGGACACAAGGACCTCATTCTATGGGAACAAAATCCTGCTAAAGAACCTCTTCTGCAGTTAAAGCATTCCTGGTGTCACCTCTGTAGCACCATCAGCAGTAGGTTGCCCAAGCTGGGAACAGCCAGCCCTCCATCCATCCTGGCTGCTGAGGCCTGGCCATGCCCACGGGCTGGAAAGGGAGACCTGGAGAGTTTTGGGCTGTCCCATGGGAACAGAGATGCTGGGAAGAGGTTTGTGCAAGCCTGAAGGATTCACACCAGAAGCAATGAGAGCTGCTCAGAGCCAGGGGAGAGCACACAGCCCCCTGGTTGTGCCCATGGCACCACAGCAGGCAGGACTTGCTCAGCTTAGTTGATTTTAGAGCAAAACACACCAAATCAGAGATTTACCCTCTAGTCTTACTCAAGTCTTATGTCTGATGAATGCAGCAGGAAGACTTGACCACTTGAAATACCAGGACTAAGCTGCTACCAGGGACATAAACGCCCAACTGCTCAGTGAGTTCAGAAAGTTTTACCAGCAAGAATCATATAATTCCTCAGAATTCTGACAGACTCAGCACAGTTTCGAGTGGGGTTTATTTACAGTCATTGCAACCAATTTCCACAAAACTCACTTCTGAGAGTCAGTAAATTGCACAACACACACAGGAGCCTTTTTCTATTCAGCAACCACATATCTTGCACAGAAACTTTTTTACTGATAAGGCAGAAAATATCATCTCAAAAGGAAAGACAGACCTCTAAGGCCTCACACACCTTCTAGGACCTATTCTTGGAAGCATTTCTCACACTGTGCACCTTGTTTGAGCCAGATCCATCAGTGGCAGCAGCCCTGTGAGACTGAGCCCAGGTTTAAGCTGCACCAGAGTCCTTCCAGCCAGCACTCAGCACTCTATGAATACACATTTCCTATCTGAATATACATTCCCTACACAGAAAATTTATAACTTAAACAACAATTTTATTACATGGTCACAGCTTATGTCTGCTAGCAAGAGAAACCCTTTGAGCTTTTTCCCTTGGAGCATCCTTTGATAGAAGCCAGCTAAGCAAGGGCAGCGCTGATTTAATCAAACTCGTTATTTCCATCTTAATGAAGACTCTGTTGGTGCCTTCACTGATGTGCCTGGCTAGCAAAGCACTCTGACTGAACCCAGCTGGCATCAGTGAGGAGCTGCACTGATACAGGGCATTTTTGTCCCTCTCATCACTGGGGTGTGCAAGGTCCCAGCAGCTCCGTCAGCCCCAGCCGTGGTGGGTCGTTGATGCCTCCTGCTCCCTAAGGAGATTTCTCCATCCAGTCTAACAGGATGTCCAGCTCACCCAGGGATTTCATTGCTGCATTTGTGACATTCAGCTGAAATGGGACAAAGGAAGAAGTTGTGAGCACAGATAATGAGTACAAACCAGTGTAAAGAGGATCTAAATATCTGCATTAATCACCAGACTCAGGCACCAACTCACCCCTTCATAGTTTGCAAGTATTTGATTAAATTTCTCAGTGGATTCCTGCCCACACAAGCACTGATTTTGCTCATGCTGGAAAAATAAGATAAATTCATTAGTTTGAGGAGTTACATTTTAAAATAATAGCTCAGTTTCTAATTATGCTGTAAATCATAGAACTGAGATCTCGTGAAACTGTGGGAAAGGCTGCAGGTCCCTGAATCAGACTTCAGCTAAGAACAGTTTACTTGACAGACACAGGGACAAGATAAATATTGTCCTTGAGGACTAACGTGGGAGTTTGTTTGCTGGTGAGTGGGCAAGCAGAGAAATTTCTCAGCGGCCAGAAAACACTCTTCACATCACGCTGCTTTGTGTTCTCGTTGAAACCACTTTGTATAAATAAAGACTTTGAACTTTATAAAGCTCTTGGGTTTGTTTATACACCAAACACTAACAGATGAAGCTAAACTGCAGCAAGAGACAAGACTTACACACTGCTCCAGTTTCCTCTTCATGCTGAGGAAGGAGTTGGCGATGCTGCTGATTTTTCGGTTCACAAACGAATCCTCGGTCTTGCAGTGCTTGAAAACTTTGTCCACGTAGAAGTTGAAGAGGTGATGGGTGATGCAGCACCTGTCTGAAGACTTAAAGAACGAATTTCATTTTTAAAAGGTCTTCCAAAGGGTTATAAACCTGTAGTCACCAAGCCCCTCTCTAGAATAAACCACCCCTGAGAGGAAGCACGTTGTAGCTGAGCATAGGCGGATATTTTGACTCATATAATTTGACTCATATAAAGCTTCTTCAGTGCTGCTTGATTTATGCTGGTAATATATATATGCTAAATTATTTTAGACTGCTTTTCCAGGAGATCCATCCTCAGGAAATCTCACAGAGTCACGACAATAAACAGCTGATTTTGCAGCTGGGTGCTAGAGGCTGAGACCTGAAGCAGTGGTGAGTATCCAGTGCTTCAGGGTGTGAGAGAGCTGAAAAATGCTTATTTATAACATATTGCACCTCCCGAGACCACATTCCTCTGCTTTTGGATCCTTTAATGGCTTTCCACCCAAGGACACTTACGTTAACCTTGTGCAGGGAGTGAGGATGGGACAAGATGCTCAGGGTCCGGATGGGGTCTCTTGCTTGCTGCAAAGGAGAGCACAGAGATGGGGAAGGTTCCAGAGGGGCTTTGGGAGCTGCCAACTAAAGAGCTCCACAAGAGCCTGGAGAAATACTTACAATATTGGCTTTAATTGCTGTGAAACCAGCCCTGATCTCGGTCATGCTCATGGAAACCCTGCAGGCTCCAAAGTGCAGGATTTTGTTCCCGGCTGTGGGCATCAAATCCACCCAGCAGCACGTGGAGAAGAGGCAGAGGAACAAGTGGGATCCCTTCATTTCAGCTGCTTGGGAGACCTGCTCAAGGAAAACAGTATTGACTCGTTATCTTTGCTAAATAACACAATTGTGATGCATATGAAAAACATACACATTTTATATAGCACTTATAATGTACATCTGTATTAAAAAACCCACACTGGCTAGCATCTCTTAATCATTTCTTTTTTTATTCTCCATGAGCAAGAGAAAAAAAAATCAAACAAAATCAAATATTTAACAGAAGAGCCCAAGAGAAAACAAGGAAAAATAAATAAAATGCCAGCAAAAAAAATTGCATGTAAATAGACATAGCTCTTCTGAAAAAAATTTCATTGGAAAAATAAATAAGGATATATAATAAATTTTTTAAAGTCTACTAACTCAGAAGCAGCAGGAGGTAAACTGTGACTGAAAGCAGCAGATTCCAAAATCTGATCCCAAAGGAAAACGCTTTCCCTCAGGAATAACAGAAGTCAAACACAAGTTCTACTAGCACTGGAAATTAAGGTTATTAAGGAAAAAAACTATTTTAGAGACACATTATAGGAATACAAGGAAATACCCACGAGCACATAGAGCAAAAGGATAAAAATCAGTGTTTTACCTTGTTCTTTGGCGTGGGTTCACCTGTCTCGACGATGTCTGACCTGGAGAGCTCCGAAGAACACGTTTTTATCCCGGTACCAGGAGGAAATAACTCCTGGATTAACTTTTGGGATTTTTCTTGCTTTTCCCGGCATGTATTTCCCTTTGTAATTTACTGAATTAATGAGCAGGGGAAAGGGCCCAGCTCTCTCTCCCCCACAGGTGTTTCCCTCACCTACGGAGGCGGGAAATCTTGGCATTGCTGCGTCATTTTTCATTCGGGAAGAAGGATGTGACCAAAAGGAGGGACCATCACGGGCATTGCAGCCCTAAAATGCCAAGCTCGGGGGTTCCCCCAGCATGGAGCCAAGTGCCTCCTGGAGAGGGCTCCTTCCTGGCTTGTCACAGAGGTCTTGGGATGTGGGAAGTCGAGTGGCATCACCCCATGGTCCGAACACCCCAGGGCTTCTGGCACTGGACAAGGTGCTCTGGTAGAAAAGCTGTGATTCAGGAAGTTGCCCAGACCTTTCTCCATCATTATCCTGGCCTTCCCATGCCAGGCTCAGGGAATTCTGCTTCCAGGCTTGCTTCTCAGGCGAGTGGACACTTATCTGCACCGTGTGTCCCTGGAGCACAGGTACACAAGGTCAGGGATTTTGGATGGCACAGCTCCCACCTTGGTGGCAGAAGAAGTCTCTTGGTTTCCAGGGTCACAGGTGACTTTGGTGATCATTATGCACAGTCCAAAGGTGTCAACCCTACAGAGGGACAGAAATTTCACTCCAGCTTCTCAAAGTCCACCAGCACAGCAGCAAAACAACAAGCTCATGATTATCCCACCCCAAGATTTCGCTGCTGAGCAAAACTGATGCAGGCGAGGTCCTCCAGCAGAGCAGACACGTTCTCCCACCAACATTTCAGATCCAGGCTGCCCCCAGGGAGCCAGGGTTTGCCAGCTGGGGCATGTTGTCACATGAAAGTGGCACTACTGGTGCAAACCCCAGGCTGGTTCACCAGGCTGTTGGCTCCGAGGCTGGTTTGGTCGTTCCTGTAACCCCTCTGGAGAGAGCCAAGCTCATTCTACAAACAAAAAGGAGCAGTTAAAAAAAATTTCTTGGACTATCTGTGCCCAGGAAGGATGGTCAGGTGGACTTAGAGAACATGAGGGTGGTAAAATCACCTCTTTAATCCCACAGCCAACCTCCAGAGAAGGTTCCCACTGAGAGCAGCAGCCCCAGCGTGCACCTCTTGCAATGCAGGTGTATCTTGTGCCACTGCCTGTGGGCCAGGGCTGTTCTGTACAGTTTTGCTGGGTGACTAATTTATTGATAACCAAGCATATATCTTTCACCAGGGAAGACTAGGCAAATGGATTTTATGCCCAGGCTAGTCACAGTATTGCACAGAGCGTTGCTGAAACTGCCCCAAATGCACCCAACGTGCCTCCCTCCCGCTGCGCCTTCGCCCTGTAAATCATCCAAAGGGCAGGTCCAAATCTGCAGCAGGTTGCATTTGCCCTTGCTGAGGTGTTGGAGGGAATCTGTGAAAGCACAAGGCTGTTAATCCCTGCCTTCCTCCCCCAGTTCCCAGCTGCTGCCTGTAATTGCAGCAAAAGTTTTGCTTGGAGCAGAGGAAGTGGCAGCAGCAGCAGCATTCCCAGGAGCCTGGTGCACACCCAGCCTGGATGAAGAAACAAGGGAAGAGGCAACGAGTTCTTACTTCATTATGTAAATGGCAGATGAAAAAAAGGGATTTCTTTTTATTTTTTTTTCCTTTCGGTAACTGAACTGGAGCTCACAATGGGTCAGTCGAGTGCCAGCAGGCAAGAAAGAGTCGTGGGTTAAAGACTGCCAGGGGGGTGGAGGGGAGATTTGGGGTTGATATGGGAACAGGAGGGAAATGTTGTATTATCAGGGTCCAGGGCCTTGCCACAGACCTCTGCATGGTCCTGGCTGGGTGTCCCTCAGCCTCTCTGTCCTGTCACTGACCATTTGCAAAGCTGAGGCAATAGTGGGACCCTCACAACAAGGGCAAGGAGGAGGAAAACCACGTCAGAGAGGGGGGACAATCCAGAGACATTGTCATTTTTGGTTTTCAGTCCATGTGCAATGATGGTGATGGATTACTCCAAGTGCCGGATCTGGGGGAGGTCCAAAGTCTCACTTTTCAGAGCAGATAGGATTCTATCAGCAAGGATCACAGAATAGTTTGGGTTGGAAGGGACCTTAAAGGTCATCTGGTTCCATCTCCTGCCATGGGCAGGGACACCTTCCACTAGCCCAGGTTGCTCCAAACCCCGTCCAACCTGCCCTTGGACACTTCCAGGGATGGGGCAGCCACAGCTTCTCTGGGCAACCTGTGCCAGGGCTTCACCACCCTCACAGGGAACAATTTCTTCCCAATATCTTCTCTAAACCTCCTCTCTTTCAATTTAAAGCCATCAGCATGCATTGGACCGAGTCCTGATGGAAGCAAATCACCTGGCTCTCACCTACCTGCCAACTACAGCAATATGAAAATATCCTCAGTGAAACAATGAAACAACCATTTCTCATTTGCTCTGGGAAGGAAGAGGAAAAAGAGAAATAGGGATTTCTGAAACTCAGCCCTGTGACGCTGCGGATGAGCTCAGGCAGTAAAATGGGAAGAGACTCCCCCAGGCACTCTCAGAACAGTTAAACTTTTCGGGTACTGCAGCGCTGGGAAGGGAGCAGGAAAGTGGTCCTGTCCCCAGGAACACTTCCAGGCAACCCCCGGCTAATGGGGGAGGGCTCCTCCCTCGGGATTTTATGGCAGGCACGTTATGACAGGGCACACTAAAAGTAGTTACAACCCGAAGAACAAGCAAAGGCAGCAGAGAGGGTTGTGAGCCAGCTGCCACCGCGCTCGGGAATTAAAACTAAGCCCCGTGTACCATTAGCTTATCTCAGAAATCATCTCTGCGGAGTGCGGGGTGAGCGGCACAGCCCCTGCCCATCCCGCATCTGCTGCGGTGCGACTCAGAAAGGCACAAAAGGGGCTTGCGGGGTCGAAGGGAATGTCCCCAGTGCAGCTGGAAAATAACCCTCGGAGCATCCTCTGCCGGCTCCCGGCAGCTCCGGGGCTGCCGGGACGGATATTGAGGCTCACCCCGCTGTCACCGCGCAGAGCTGGCACCGCTGCTGTGGCAACGAAACATCCCCACAGCGGCCAAATGCACGAAACTGCTGCGGCCAAATGGAGTGACTAACAGAGCAGACAATCCTGGAGAGCCCGGGAGCGTGACAGGAGACGAGACACTTCATCACCGGTTGTGTTGGGAAACCCAGCAGCAGCTCCCAGCCCTGCTCCAACGCGGCGCAGGGGAGTCATCCCTGTGCACCCCACTCATGTGGAGTTACTGCACTCCTGCTGCCTGATCCAGCCCTGACCCAACTTAATTCATTTCAAATAGGTTTGGTTTTATTCTAAAAAAAAAAAATCCCTAAAAGTGTATGATCAAACTGTTCTGACCTCAAGGATCTGCTGTCAAGGACTGATCCCACAACATGCTGAACATTAGGTTTCCAGTAAAGTGTTTCAGAGTGATAAGGCACCAGTTTCAATAGTGCATTTCAATGCAGTTTCATGCAATAAGAAGTTCTGATAGCACTCTACAGCCCAGCCTTGGTTTATCATTCTTTGTCATCACTCATATTTCACAGCAGCTTTAGGTAAACCATCGTTTCAGATATGAGGGTGATAATGGTTTGTACACAGAGAACGTGAGTGATAGAAATGCTCCCAGAAATTTTAATAAAGGGGAAAATTAAGCCTTAATAACAACATCCAGCAACAATATCTGAACTCAGGAACAATTCCTCATATCCTCCAGGAAAAGATGTGTAATTTCCAACTTGGCCACATGAAACAAGAGGGATGTAAAACCTCTCCTTGTAATACTGTTGCTCATCAAAACCCCTGTCAAAGAACTGTAATTATTGTTCCACAGGCAGAGGAAAATGTTTCCACTTGGGTTTTATGCACTGGAGTAATTTCTTACACACTTGCAGTGGGGTAAATTCTGAGCCAGCCCTACCCTTATCATAGCTGGGAGTTAATGGGAAGGTGGGCTGCAGGGAGTAGTTCTCAGCACCTTAAAAATCAAAGTTTCATTGCCAAGCAATCCAGAGCCAAAATCTCGTTTGAGCAAGTGCTGATCTGTCACGATCCTCTTGAACCCAGGGGCTGACACCAGCACCCGAGAGATGCCACCCATGCCAACGTCAGTCTTTCCATGAGCTCCTCACTGACACCCTTCTCTCTTTGTGATGGAAACGCCCTCTCCCAACCCAGACAATCAGATTTGCTCTTCTGCTTTTCCCCCTCTTGATTAGTGCAGCTCATTATGGGCAGAGAGCCGGGCTGGGGCTGCCGGCCCTGGCCTCACCCAGTCCCAGCCCTGCAGTGCTGCTGACAGAGGTACAAAAAGTGTTTTTCTCGGTAAACTCAACAAATGACTCAGGAAACCCCGTGAGGAGTTATCGGCTGAGAGGCGTGGTACATCATGTACCCTCTCCTCAGTCACGTTTCTAACCATAACCACTTGAATAATTCTGAAAATCAAACACTTGAGTGCTGCCTCGTAGGGAGCAACAGGCTGAGCACGGCTCGGCTTAGGGAAAGGTGATTTTTGTTCAGCTAAGCCCAAGAAACATCCAAAGCCAAGGGAGCAAAAGTTCAGGCTGGTTTCCAGGATCCCTTCCCAAGTGTGCCCAGGATTCCCAGCAGTTTTAGGACCTCCCCTCACGGGCAGAGCATCTTCTTTCCCAGTGCTCAGAGGCTGAGCAATGTCCTTCACCCCAATATAATGGGTGAATCACCCTGATTTAGAGCATCACCCATGATTGTCCCTCTAGGGCTCTTCCTGCCACTGTGTGTTACCAACAGCCTGGCCCAGGATGTCCCCAGGTGCTCGACTCCCCAGAAAGGGGACAGTGCCACGTTCCCCAGGGAGCATCACCCCTCTGCTGTGGGTGTCCTTGGGGTCACCTCGTCCTCACGGGCTGTCCTTGCTCGTGGTCAGCTCCCAGCTGGGCAGGGCTGCACGTCCCAGGCAATGCCACCGTGCAGCCACCGCCCTCAGGGAGCAGATGTGACACTTGTCTGTGTGACTCACCGGTGGCAGCGCTGCTGCCAAGGCAGGATTTCACCCAAAGAGGGTAAAGAAATCGCAAAAAAAAAAAAAAAGTGCTTTTCTTCTTTTTTTTCTTTTTTCCCCTCCACCTCTAAGACTCACCTTTGTGGAAGAGGAAAAGCGTGGTGGAGGATCTTGTACATCAACATCTCTTCCACAGAAAAGCGTCGATTTAGTCACCGGGGTGGCGGGTGTTGAAGGTCAGATACTTGTTTCCCCTGCTTCGATAAAACGTGAACTCAGATTTTGGTTATCATAAATGGCATCTTCCCCAAAGGGAAATGAACATTTCATGTCTTTAGAGTTAAATAATTACAGCTCAAAAGCAGCTCCTGGAAGCTTTTTTTTTTTACCTATCCAGCACTTGGTTTTCAGTGGCCACCTCTGCGTCCAGGTGAGTGGAGACAAAGTGCCCCTGTGCTCAAAACCAGGGCAGTTCACGAGATGTGTGATGCCAAGGACCAGCCCAAGGCAGCTCAACAAACCCCTGCTCAGTTCAGGGACTCTCTGGAGAATTAAATTGCTCTTGGGAAATTTTCATCCCAAAACTGCAACAGCTCAGGAGTTGTCCAAGAAGTTTAGAAGACGCTGCTTAGGTGCATGCAACACTTTTGTGATCAACTCATGGAATCATGGGATGGTTTGGGTTGGAAGGGACCTTAAAGGTCATCTGGTTCCATCTCCTGCCATGGGCAGGGACACCTTCCACTAGCCCAGGTGGCTCCAAGCCCCGTCCAACCTGGCCTTGGACACTTCCAGGGATGGGGCAGCCACAGCTTCTCTGGGCAACCTGTGCCAGGGCCTCCCCACCCTCACAGGGAAGAATTTTTTCCTGATATCCAATCTAAACCTACTCTCAGCTTGAATCTATTTATTTCAACAAGATTTCCCAGTCAGAGAGCGAAATTTTCATGTTGTTTTTTAACTTTTTTCTCCACCCTGTGAAGAAAATCGGTTATTTCAGCAAAAATTGAGGCACAGTTGCCTGAAAAGAACTTCTCTGCCTTTGAAGGTGAACAGAAGGACCCGGGAGAGAACAATGTAAAGCCCAACACCCCATGGCAAGATTTGCACCAGCCTCCAAATGTGTGAGTATTTCAGACTCAGATCTGCCAATGAGATTAAACACAGGCTTGATGAATGAGGCTTTTGCAGTTTCCAGGAGGTTTCAGAAGCTTTTTGATGTGGCCATCTGATATATTAGCAATGGGTCTGCTCTTAGAACACACCATACCCATGTACAGAAACTGCTGAAGTGCAGTCAAGACCTGCCTGAGAAGTGCCCGTGTTGGGAGGACCAACATTTCACCAAGAAACGAAACTTTCTTGACAGGTCTTTCCCAGGGAGAGAGCTGTGATCAGTGAATATGAAAAGTGCTCTGAGCAAATCAAACTTCCACTTTTCGAAGCCACGAGAAGCCCCCATGAACATCTTCCCTGCAGACTTTACATTTGTTTACTGTGCCTTCTTCTAATTTTAAACTTTTTTTTCCCCTCTCTTATATTTAGCGCCGCAATCATAATTCACATTACCAGGCATCAGGTTGCTCCACTTGTTCTGGGCAGTCCCAGGCTCCTGTGGACACTGGGTTACACTGTGGATAGAGCAAGTTTGCCCCTTGGAAAGGGACCAGCCTAAAAGAGATAGGGAACCAAAGAGGAGACAAAAATAAAATTAAGCAAAATCGAAGAAAATAGCTGATTCCAAGGGTAGAGATTTTTCATAGTGAGCCTTGAGATGCCCAGTTGAACCCCGTGGATGCCTCCACAACTCACAGAAGAGCTTGTGCAGGCAGCTCTGGGGGACTGTTCCTCACCAACGGGCTTGTCTTGGGAGAAGACTTGTCAATATTTAGAAAACCAAAGCTGAAATTCTTTACTTTGGTGATTCAACAGTCACAGAAAACAGTGTTGGTTATCAGGTGCTGCCTGCAGCACGTGGGGATTCATGAAGAACAACAATCCCAAAGGACAGAACATGTGCCAGAGTTACCAGGGCTGATCATCTGCACTCCAAGGACACGAGAGCAGAGCAAAGACTTTGATGTGCAGGAGCCACAGGAGCTGCTTTGTGGTGAAATATCCCCCCAGAGCCAGAGCTTTGAATGGTGTGGCTTTCCAGATTTCCAAATTATTCTCAGAAAGGAAGAGAAACATCCACCACATTTGCTGCTGCTGTGGCTGTCACAGGTGCAACGACAGCAGCAGCACCAACACTGCTGAGACCAGCACTGGGCTCTGGGCAGCTCGTGGCAGATGCCAGACCACGGCCTGCTGAGATGCACATACCCATCACCCAGCTCTTGTATTCCTGCCATCCTTGTTTTTGGAAGAGCTAAAAACTGGTGTGATAGCCAAGGTCAGGCAGGACATTTCACAGGATCATAGAATCAGCTGGGCTGGAAGTGACCTCCGAGATCATCAAGTCCAACCCTTGATCCAACCCCGCCGTGGTTCCCAGCCCATGGCACTGATGCCACATCCAGTCTCTTCTTAAAAACCTCCAGGGATGGAGAATCCACCACTTCCCTGGGCAGCCCATTCCAATGGCTGATCACCCTCTCTGCAAAGAAATTCTTCCTAATATCCAACCTAAACCTCCCCTGGCACAGCTGAAGACCCTGAGCCCTCTTGTCTTGCTGAGAGTTGCTTGGGAAAAGAGACCAACCCCCACCTGGCTCCCCCCTCCTGTCAGGGAGTTGCAGAGAGTGAGGAGGTCTCCCCTGAGCCTCCTCTTCTCCAGGCTGAACAGCCCCAGCTCCCTCAGCCTCTCCTCATAGGACTTGTGCTTGAGTCCTTTTACCACCCTTGTTGCTCTTCTCTGGACCTGCTCCAGGACCTCAATGTCCTTCCTCAATCATCCGAGTTGGAAGAGACCGTCAAGGTCACCTGGTCCAGCCACCAACCATAACCATGATCACCTCCAAACCATATTCCCAAGTGCCTTTTGACAGAAAACCAGGCTGTGCCTCAGGTTGGAGCAGGTGATGAATCCAACTGTCCCACACATCAGCCGGGTTTGCCCCTGGGGGTGAAATGTGCTGACAGTGCAGGCAACAAATGAGGCCTGAGAGAGGAGAAACCGAGAGCTGGCTGCCATCAGCTCCAGCTTTGAATTCTCTGGGGAGCAAATGAATCACTCCAAAAGCCAGGCAGAGCTGTCATAGATTTAGCTTTCACCAAAACTGAAACTCGTGTTTCAGTAAATTGGCCGTGGATTCACCACGCAACCCGGAGCTGGGTTTTGGTTTTTGTGCCCGTCTCAATTTCACAACCAGGAGGAGCCAAAGCTGGTTTCACTGGGGCTGGATGCACGTGAACACACACACAGAGGCACCCAGGGAGCCCTTCTCCAGCTCTGGGGCAGAGAGAAACCAGGAATAAGAGACACTTGGCACCTCACAGCCACTTGGCTCCACTAATTCCCACATTATTTGATAACACAACCAGTGGAAATGAGAAAAACAGGGAAAATTGGCCACTGTTTGCTTCTAGGCATACATTCTTGGAAACCTAGGCTACGAGTCAAGGTTAATTTTTCCAGAGTTTTATCCTCTTATCAATTCCCCTGCAAAGCTCTGCCTGACCCTGGCACACCTGTCTCCATCAGCCTGGCCTTCTGCTAACCAGTGTCCTCTGATCTCGGTGGAAAACTGGAGACTTGGTCCCTTGCAATGCATTTCCTCACTGCACAACCCCTTTTGGTCACAAATATAAATCAGGGCCATTGCAAGGCCTTAATTTGACTTTGTATTTCCAGCAGACACACTCCTGGCCACTTCTGAGGAGTGGGAGATGAAGTGCCCATGTCTCCTTCCCTGACAGGCAGGGACAGCCAGCAGAGTAAGTTCCCTTCAGATCTCTTAATTTCTTCTTTTTTTTTTTTTAATCTTCTTATTTTTAAACACTGTTTTCAGCGAGAGGGGTTTTCCATCATACAGCTTCATCTTCCACTTCCTGGTTACAGCCCTCAGAAGCAACAGGGAAAGCAACAACCAAAATAGTCACAAGTGCCTGATCCTGTCAATGAAGTGAATCTTCCTCAGACTTCCACAAAAAGATAAATCCCTGGCAAAGTGCTGAGGAAGCTCAAGGAGACCAGTGATGAGCAGAAGTGGAGCAGACACCTCAGCTCCCCTGGAGAGCAGCAGGTCATACCCCTGGGAGCAGGAGGATTTTGGGAATGGCTCTTCAGTGTCTGAACTCTACTGCTTTCATAACTCAAGTTCAGCCCTCGTGGCAGGGGGGGTTGGAAACAAATGATCTTTAAGGTCCCTTCCAACTCAAAGCATTCTATGATACCATGGTGTCTTTGGGTCTCAGTAGTTAAGATGAAGTAATTAAGATATTTGGCAGGGGAAACAACCAGGTTGGATCATCTGCTCCCTCTGTGAAAAAAAAAAAAAGAAGAAAAAAGGAGAAAAAAAAGAAAAAAGAGAAAACAGAAGGGAGATCTGAACACGTGGAGGTAGAATGTTGTAAACAACACGTTGTAAAGCCCCTGAAACCTCTGAAAAGCACATCTGATGGATCATTTTTTCATAAATGATTTTGGAGCAGAAAGACATGGGAAATCCCCTGGCAGGCCTGGGGATGCCAGCATCCCTCGGGTACCAGGCATGACCCACCAGCACGTGCAGCATCACCATCCACGGCACGTGCTCGTCTGCAACTTGTGGGGCAGCAAAGAAAGCCCAGGATTTCTAAACCCACGGCGTCAGCTGCCTGGCAGCACACAAAAAATCTCCCCAAAACCCCACTGGGTGAGTGGCCCAGCCTGTTGTTGGCTCCAGGGCAAGGGCCTGATGCTGCTGTGGAACGTGAGTGGGGCTGGCTCTGTAATTCACCCCAGGGTCATGTTGTGCTTCGCCTTATCTGATTTCCCAAACCGTGATAACCAGTTTCTGTCTTATGACCCTTCATCACTAGAAGTACTTTTTATTTGTGTTATTGGTCAGGGTGTTGGTGCTAAATCATGACAAAGTTGATATTCTCCAGAAGATCCACCTCCCCCCACGCCCCCCAGTAATACCAAAACTAGAGAAAAGAAACTCCTCAAAGCAGCACTTGTGCAATGAGCTGCCCAAGGGAGGAGTTGCTCAAAGTTGTTTCTGTAGAAAGCCCAAAAAAAAAAAGGCAGTGCATGTGATATTTGGATAATGGATTGTAGATTCAGAGGGTTTCTTTGAATACTTTTACACTCTTAACTTACCTGCAAACAAACTCACCTGAGACAACCTCGTCCATCCTCCCTGCTTGCTCAGAGCACACACTCCTCACTCCAGTGCTGAGATCCCCGTGGGTTTCTCTGAGGACACAAATAGGGCTGTGAGCATCAGAAAAGTCCTGTCAACTGCTGATTTCAGGAGAAAATAAAAGAGGTGAGGGATAATAACACCTCTGGTTGCTTTGCAGAGTGAGAAACAGCCCCGTGTGGGTGATGGCAGCCGAGGGCCTGATGCTGCATCAATGGGCTCATCAGAAGGCCCAGAGACAAGAGGGTCTTTCAGCAGCACTGACCTCACCCACAGCTCTGCACACCCCTCACAGAGTGACTTAAAATGGAAAAATACATGTAAAACCGGGAATAAAGCACAGCTCACTCTTCTAGGTTGGTAGAGGGCACCCTGGAATTCCAGGGTGGGGTATTACACAAGGATGTTACTTAATTTTTGCCTTAAGATGCAGCAGAATTCCAAATATTGTGAGTTTGACGTGTGCAATTACAAAAGTGCAAACATTTCTCAGTGAAGTTAATCACCAAAACACTGAATCTACAGATGGGAGCAAGTCTCCATCAGCTGATTTTTTCATGTGACACTTCCAGCCTGATTTAGATCAAATTGAAGATCTGGACTTTCTAAGAACTTCTTATATAAGGCTTTCTCTGTGTCATACCAGAAGCCACATTAAAAACACGATAACATCTTCCATTCATGATTAATAACCTGTTTTTGGACACTTGAATGTTACAAGAGAAACCAGTGACACGGGTTAAATTTCCAAAGAGTAATTTGGGATTTACCTGTCGATGTGAGTCATGTCGCAAATTCCGACAAGGGTGGTAGAAAGCAGGTCTCCAGATGTGAAATATCCAACGTCATGCCCTGCCAGCACAAAAAAAACTCTCGAAAAAAAACCAGACAGTCCAGTTGATGCTTCATCAGGAACTGTTAGTCATCAGTGGAGATGAGAGAGAGAAAATGCCAGCGCTTCAAAAGTGTTCTTTGCACAAGGTGAATGAAAGGCCACCAAGCCTCTGCTTCCCCCAGGGCAGCACCGGCAGCAGATCTTCCAGATCTGAAGGGATGAGAAACGGGGAGTTTTTGAAAAGGAGAGAAAGATTCACATCACTGTGACAGTCTGGAAATCTAAGGGGCCCTCCGGGTTATGTCTAGAGTAGATAGTGCAGAAAATCACAGAATCACTGAGGTTGGAAAAGATCTCTGAGATCATCAAGTCCAACCTGTGACTGATCTTCACCTTGTCAGCTAGATCAGAGCACTGAGTGCCATGTCCAGTCATTCCTTAAACACCTGCAGGCATGGTGAGACATCTCCAGGGATGGTGTTACACAACACACAATGTCCCTCTGCCCAAAAGCAATGACAGAGACCAAGAAGGTAAAAAAAAAAAAGCAAAAATTTGCCACCTAAAAACTTGCCTACATGAGAAAAGCCCCTTTAACAAGCAGGGTGAGGTGCCACCCTGCTCCAGAGGATGGGACTCTGAGGACTTCCCACCCCCAGCCCCACCAGTTCAGGGTGCCCAGGGTGATGCCCAGGACAAATCTGTCCTCGTGCCACACTGTGGGGGAAAGTATTTGCCCAAAGGCCTCTGTTTTAGTGAAGAAACAGCATTCTGCTGCCCTGCTGTTTCCTGTGAACCTGTCACTCTCAGAAGCTCGTGGGAGGTGGGTAAAAGTGCACGAATGGCTTTTGAGTAACACATTTTCCTTCCTGAAATCTTCTTGGCAAACATGAAAGCTGTTTCCTAAAGGTTCAGAAGTACACCCACATCCCCCGGACACTCTTTAGGAAAAGGTGCTCTATTCATTCATGAGGCACGTTGTAGTAAGTGCAGAGTCAATGCCTTTCCACAGCAGTAAGCAGAGAGTGAGTCAGAGCGAAACTGCACCGTCAAGATCTCTGACGTGGCGAAGGAAACACAGGTAAACACAGCAAGAGAATCACCCTGCACAGGCCAGAGTTTCCTTTGTGGAATGGACACGTTCTGGTTTACGCTGGTAGCGACCAGAAAACACAGAGCAGGTTCCAAAACAGGGAGGAGGGAACGGGCGCGAGGCCGAGGAGCGCTCGGGTGTCAAACAAGTGACTTCACGGAGAGCCACGGGCTGCTCAAAATAAGAGAAGTTTGGAAATGAGCACTCAGCTCCTTGGCAGGATGGAAGGAGGCTTCTGGTGCAGCACCAGCTCCTGCTGATGCCAGGGGGCATCCCCAAAGCCTGGCATTCCATAAAAACACCAGCACCTGAACCTGCAGCTGAATGACCACCGTGCTGCAGGGGACCAGTCCAAGCTGTTGTTCTGAACAAACTGACCTGTGAGGTTGAAGTTTACTTGACACCTTGGCATGGCAGAATTTGCATGTTCATAATTTCGAACTGCTGGAATGTTATTCTAGAACGGACAGGTTGTGATATGAGACTTAAATCAGATTCTGTTCACACATTTGTTACCTCATGCTTACATCCTGAATGTTTAAGCAGTTCATACACTGTTTAATTAAGTCATTGTATGGTGACTTAATGTAGGTCATTACACCCTTGTAGGGTGGGAGATAAGAATTTTAGAATTTAGAATTTGGAGGGAAGTGCCTGGGGCTGCATCCTTTACCCAAGGGAGTGGGTTTAGCTCCAGGATTTGGTCCAGCACATTGGCTCCTGCCAACATCACACTCAGTGACTTAATGTATCAGCTTCAATACCCTGATGAAGCTTAAACAGCTGTCCAGGTCTTGGCACTGAAGATTTATTGACCCCTGGCAGGTTCAAGTTAAAGCAAAGGAAGCAAAAAATTTCCCCAGGGAAAAGTGGGATCCTGTCAGTGAAAATCAAGCTTAAAACCACCGGGTTTTGTCCGAGCCTTCTGCCCTTCTCCTTTCTGATGCTTCTGGTGTCAGCCAAGGGGAGAAAACACGTGGCTGAGTTAGGGCAGGGAAAGAAAAATGGGTCACCAAAAAACATGACACACGCCGTGATTCAGATGCACTGTGAGCCTGCAGTGATTCATTGGGACCTCGCTTCCCCAGCACCCCTGGAAGAGGCATCAACAACCAAAAAACCCAAATCACAGCTCAGGATCCCACATTGTCCCCCTCAAACCCTCCAGTTACTGGTGTTTCATCCCCTTTCCCTGAGTCATACCTACGCACGCCAAAATTCCTCTCTTTTACTCCTAAAAAACCCCACGAATAAATCTCAGTGTACAAGAACAAACAATACTTTGCATTTTTCCAGCATTTTTCTTGCAACGAGTTCCTAAACAGAGGTCTGGAAACTCAACCTGAAGGAATCTCAGTGTGATGGAGGAGATGAGAATTTAAGGGATTTGCCCCCTGTTGGAGGCAGGCTGGGAAGAACAAACTATTTCAAAATAGCATGAGATTTTAAATAAAATCCTCTGATTTTAAGAAAGCTAAATTTATTTCCCCTTTCACTTTCTTGGGTACCAGATTCCCAAATTAATAAGTGAAATCTTTATCACAAGGAAGTGTGAGGGGGGAGTGGGGACTGATTTATATAGAAAGAGGTCAGAAAAGAGAGGGAAGCGGAAAACGAGGAGACGTCAGAGGAATTATCTCCAGCTCTGAAGAGGCAACTTTATCAGAGCTGGGACAATAAGTCCAGTTAAGACAGGACACAGAGTCTTTACAGCCAGCACGGGGTTACTTGGATGGGGCTGTCCATTTCTAGGAAACTAAATGGGATTTAAGAGCTGGAAACATGGATATTCATTACCTGCTTGTGCACTTTAACCCCACAAATCAATGTTAAAACAGGGCTACAAACCCTGCTCCTGCCCTGCTGCTCTGGGGGAGCCCAGAGGGACTGGAGCAGCCACATCCATGGCTGAGCTCTTCCACAGCATCCCCACACATCATGGAACTGATCCCGTTAGCATCCAGACACTTCACCAGCTAAAATTTGGGAGCGCAGCCTTTGAGCTTGAAAATTCACATGGGCTTCAGCAGACACATGCATTAAGTGAAAAAAAAAAATAATCTCATTAAAAATGAAGATTTCAGATGATTATGTGTATTTGCAGATTAACTTTCAAATGCCAAAAAAGGAGACAGTGTGTTTGTACAGGTTCACGAAAAGCAAAGCTGCTGAATGATGCAATGCTGCAGGTTTCATACAAAGATGTAAAAGTAGCAACATTTTTTTCACCCTAAGGATAGGACATTCATCTAAATATAAAAAGTGACTGTGAGAATAAAGAATTAACCTCACACAGCACCTTGGCTTCTTCATGTGTCTGCAACTTTCCTCTTCAGCTACATTTAAATTTACAAGAAACAAGCAATGAAAAAAAAATTGCAGAGTCTAAGCACAAAAGAATTGATGGGGTGTGAGGAGAGGAGGGAGGTCAAGAGAACAGGAAACCCAAGTTGACGGGAAACCCAAGTGACATTTGGGTTTAATGAATGACTTAAAACCCCAATATTGCTCGTCAGGAAACGGGGGAGAGGAAATGGAGCCATTTTTTGAGAGTATAAATGAGGGGCTCCATCAAGGTGAAAGCTGCAGATCTGCTTTGTACCCTCCTGTGGAATCCATCCGAGAGCTGGACCAAGAGGGAAGCAGCCCCTTTCCCACAGCATGAGGACCTGCTCCAGCTGCAAAGCCATGCCCATCCTGCTCCTCCTGCTCCTGGCTGCCGGCGCCCGCTGCCAGCCCTCCTGCCTGCACTTCCCCCAGCTCCTGCCTGCAAAGCTCAGAGAGCTCAGAGTCAAGTTTGAGGAAATCAAGGATTATTTTGTAAGTATCACACAACCCCCGCTCGTTTCTTTGCCTCTCTGTTTTTGCAAAGTTCAGTGATTTGGAGGGGAAGAGCTTCCTCTCTGCAGAAATGATTTAGTGCGTGCATTGCGTTACGGGTGAGCAAGAGAAGTTCGGTTTCATTGCTCGCTGAGAGACAGCACACGAGGGTTTTCTTCCTAGTTTTAGTTACAATGAACTCGAGATTTCATAATGAAGCTTTGTGAGCCTTAGCAGCCAGACTTCCCGCTAAATTAAATCCCGCCAAATTAATCACCGGATTAATAGGAAGGAAATTGTCCTTCCTTCAGGGCAGAGAGGTCCAGCCTCGCCTCGATGCTGGGTGAAAAGGGAAATCTTTTGCTACAGGCTTTTGCTTTGAAAGGACCACAAAAGCGTGCACAGGGTATTTTATGGCTGGAGAAACTCTACAGTAACTGGACACCTGCTTTGGTGTCTGTGCAAGGTCACTGCTCTGCCTCACGACAAACAGGAGCCTCGGGGCTGCTGAGAAAACAGCACAAGATGCACTCAGAGCATCTGTCACGGCATCAGTACTGACAGAGATGGTTGGTCACATCTTTGTTACTGTTTTGGTTGATGTCAGTGTGTTTCAGCAACAAAACAAGGTAATTCTCCAGATGAAATCTCAAACTAATGTCATGGCTTGTATTTATTATCAACCGAGTGCAGCCAAGACTGTAGATGTAAATCTTGCTGTAAATCTCCCAGATGACATTTGGAAGGAGTATTTTTAACCTCTCAGAACAGCTTTTGAGTCCCTTGGTGCCCTGGGGTCCTTCTTTGTGTGGTGCAAGCCCACCCCACTGCAGCTCTTCGGTCTTTCAGAGCTGCTGGTGCAACAGAGGCACCAGGAGAACAAACTCCCTTTTTCCCCATCAACTGGAGACTTACAGAGGTAACAAAACCTGGGGGATTAAACCCTCCTGACCTGGCAGACAGGCTGGGGTGGCTTCCAGGGGCTGCCATTGCTTTGACACCTCTCTGGAGAGCGTTGCAGTCTCCAGCAGCACCCTTAGACAACACCCCGAGCAGCTGAAGCGAGTGCACGGCGCAGGCAGCAGAGACAGGAGTTTCACATTGACAAAATCAATATCACTAAAGATTGTGATTTCATTGTCTTCCTGTCCTGACCTAGCAGCCCTTGTGCTGCAAGATCATGGACCAAAGAACTGGTGACTCCTGTTCCTGGCGTCACCGTGCTCTGCACACACGTGTGCTGCAGTGAGACCACAAATGCAAACAAGAAGAGGATCAGTTGATTAGACAAAGTGAAAAGAGTGCTGATTACCTGCCTAAAAAAGCTCACATTTCCATTGCACCCTCCCACAGCAATCAAAAGATGATGACCTCAGCATCCAGCTGCTCAGCTCCGACCTGCTGGATGAATTTAAGGTAAGAATCACAGCTCTCGTGTCTGAGTCCCTTCTCCCCCTCCATCCTTCGGCGGGTGTTTCATAAGAGGGAGGAAGCAGCCTGGAAATTGGGGCATTTCCTAAAGTCGCGCCAGGACAGCTCCGCAGCCCCGCAGTGACACGTGTGGCTGCTGCGAGCGCTCTGACCACCAGGGCGACTTTGATTTAAAATCACACCCCCGCGCGTCGGTGCCGGTGGCCATCCCCCCCCGCCTCAACCCGCTTCCCTCCTCTCGCCCCAGGGCACCTTGGGCTGCCAGTCGGTGTCGGAGATGATGGGGTTCTACATGGAGGAGGTGCTGCCCAGCGCCATGAGGACCAGCACGCACCACCAGCAGAGCGTGGGCGACCTGGGCAACCTGCTGCTGAGCCTGAGGACGATGATGAGGCGCTGTGTGAGTGGGGCTCGGCGTCACGGGGACGGTCCCAGAGTGGCAGGAGGGCGGGCAGAGGGTCCCCAGGGGCGGGGTGGTGGGATGGTGTGAGGGTGGAGGAGCAGGGATCCAGGCAGGGCACACAAGGATGGGGTTTCTGCTCGCCAGGATCGCATTAGTCAATGGTGGTGCTCAGCAGCACCACTTGCAGCCAGCCCTGCACAAGAGTCTGGCTGAAGAGACACGGGGAGGGTCTGTCCTTTACCTGGGTGCTGGAGCCACGTGGCTCCGCGATGATGCCTCCCAAATTCCCACCTGGTGCAGCCACGAGTCCGTCTCCGGGGTCAGACGGGATGAATCCTGCCCTGGGCACAGAGCACCTCACCCGGGGCTGGCAGCGAGGGGCACAGGGCTGGGGACAGGCTGGGGCTCCGGGCTCAGGTCACACTTTCAGCGGAGCACGGCGCTAAAAAGCTCTAATTGCTGCCCCAGAGAGCTCCGTGGCCTCACTGGGGGAAGGGGAAGGTGGGGAGCGGCACTGAGGAGGGGCAAGAGGACGGGAGAGCCAGGACCACACCCCGGGCAGGAAACCCCTGGGGCTGAAGATGTTGTTTTTATCCCTTTTGCAGCACAGATTCTTCACGTGCGAGGAGAGGAGCAAAAGCATGAAGCACATAAAGGACACGTTCAACAAGGTAAGGTCCTGCCCACATGGATGCACCAAGGGGGAGGAACTCGCTGCTCCAGCAAGACAAAGAACTTACTGATGGCTTCAGTTTAGGATGGAGAACCCAAAAAAGTCTTTAATGCATAAATACCTAAGGCAGAGGAATCCAGAGAGTGGGTTCTCCCGGGAAATTGGGCAGAGAAGCAGGAGGAAGAGGGAGGAGAAGTTGTACAGTGATTGTACATCACAAATATTGTCACAGTCCCACTAAACACTCTTGGCTTTCACCTGCAGATGAACCAGAACGGGATCTACAAGGCCATGGGAGAGTTTGACATTTTCATCAACTACATTGAAAAATACTTGACAATGAAGAGAAGGAACTGAGGACACCCCTGGCTCTGCCTTTTTCACACCAAATCATGCTATTTTTTCAGAAATCAGGCTGCAAGAGCTCAGATTATCTCAGGGTTCAGTTATGGGTCAATAACTTCCAGTTCATTATGGTATTTAAAAGTTATTTTTTTAGAATTTAATATTTATTACTTTTAATACCTCAGTGTTAATGTTTACAATATGGTTTGAAGAGGAGCATGAGCTTTTAAAATACTATTTATTGTTCAATATTTTAATATTGTTTATCATAGTGCTACTTTATTCATAGCTTCCAAACACCCAAAGCAGCATTTTTCTGGAGAGCAGACAATGAATAGAGTTTATACCGAGTGAAATTCCACTCCTGATCAGAAGGAATTCCAGCTCTGAGACGAACAAAAGTTACTTTTAAGCAAATTACACTCTCCCTATGTTCTATTTCTCTATTTATTTATGCAATCAGATGTTTTTATGTTTATGAAGGGGAGGACCTGTACTCCCATAAACACAACAATAGCTCAGTTAATCTACCTCTAGACTTCAACCTGTAGATTAGTCCAGATTAAAGGAAAAAAACAAATAGTAGTAGGAATTAAATGTTTGGTTCTAATAGAACTTGGCTTAAATATTGCTAAATACCTGCCCTCCAGAGCTGCTGGGTTGGCCACTCTGCACTTTCAGAGTGTTAAGTTAAGTTAATCTTACTATTAAGTTAATCTTACTATTTTCCAGTCTTTGATTGGGTTTTACTCACTGTTTTATTGTCTATTTTCTTTTATAAGTTAGAGGATATTTAATTAACCACCATTTTAAGGTGGCTTGTGTAATTTGCATTCAAATCCATGAAGCTGCTTCCAGCACTGACAATATTGGGGTTTGGTTTCTAATCCCCACGTGCTGCAGGGGGGAGGCTGCAGGGAGAGCACCCCCAAAAGTGGCTGATTTTAGGGCTTACCTTCCTCCTCAGCCCAGTCTCCTGGGGGGGGAGAGGGAAATGCCACAACCCAGAGGCATTTATTTCTAATATTTAGAAGTAAAAGGGCCCCAATACGATGAAACACTGCCAGTCTGCCGTTTGCTTTGTAAGTCCCCCGCTGAAGAGAGGCTATTTATAGTGGATTTATTATTTGTGTACATTGATGGTGACAGAAGGGCATTCCTGCTGGCAGCCTGCCCGCCTGGGAACTGGTTATCCCAGAGTTAGGGCTGGAATGCTGCTCCCTGGATCCGCTCCTCCTGCTGAAAGCAGCGGGGTGGGCACGGGCTCAAGGGCAGCGTGGGAGCCAAACACTCTTCAAACTGCAATTAAGCTTCTTACCAGGACACGTTAAGCTCCCGTTGAGCCAACTCTGTGCTTGTTTTTTTCCACCAAACACCTTGACTTCCACGCTGGAGGAGAAGCAAGGGCAGCCCTGGAGCCGTGGGGAGAGCCAAGAGCAACATCAGCTCCACTCCTGGGGGGTGTCACGCTGGTGGGGGGGCTTCTGTCACTGTGTGAACTCTTGCCTATTTATCTGTATGAAAAGAAATCTTTTATTTTTGCTAATAAAGACCTCCTAATGAACCAAGCCTCTGCTGTGTTCTTGCAAGCTGTTAACAGGGCTGTAAATCAGCAGCAGAGCACAGATCCTGTGCCCGGTGTCACCGTGCTGGGAAAGAGCCCAGCGGGCACAGATCCAGGTGGGAAGGACCACCCAGGAGGAGTTGAATGTGTTAATGGCCAGGGAAGTGAGAAGACCCGAGGTCCTCACATTTAAAAGCAAATTTCTGACAAAATACCTGGCAGGGATCTCCTACAGCACAGAAGCACCAGCCCCAAGGTACTCCATGGGTCGATCCAGCCTCTTCAGCCTCTAATTAGCAACTGTTTCAGGCACTGCCCTTTTTAGAGCGGCATTTACAGTTAAATAACTGGGTATGTGCCCAAATAATCACCAGGGTTTTCACATCCCTTCCCCTGGTTTACAGGAGAGAGCACTGCTGCCTCTGTTTACCTGCTGGGATGTTTTCAGGTTCACCTCTGTTCTCAGTCAGGATGAGGCCTTGATCCTAGATCAGATAGTAGATACCAGCTAAAAACCAGACTAACATAAATCAACGACAGAACTGCTTGTTTTTCCCAGGCTGGAGGTTATGTGTCTGTACAGGTGGATCCGGATGGACTTCCTGAACAAAACCCAGGTGGGCATGCACGTGGGGATTCACAGTTGTTAATAAACCCAGAATTCAAGCAGTATAACCATCTCCAACCTGCAGCTCAGCCCTGGTGGCTGCTGGCAGGTACCCACCGGGTCACATTCCTGTTTCACTTTCGAGCCTCTTTCATTTTCACCCCTCTCAGCCCTTTACTCACTGGTCCAGCAGACTCCAGGTGTTTGTGACAGTAGAGTTTCCTTCTTCACTGGACTGAAAGCAAAATTTTTTTACTTAATACCACAATTTCTAAGTCTGTTTCTGCCCAGACTCCAGCCTGATGTGGGTCAGTGGAATCACTGACTTTGCCCCAGGAGGGGATTTGTGTTCTCAGCCAAATCTGCACTTACGAGCACTGCTTGAAGCTTCCCTCCAGGCAGGTCTGCTCCTCACGCTCCTCCAGCCCCTCTGCACCTCTTTTTATCCCTTTTCTATAACTTTTCTTCCACGGGGAGGCAGGAAGCAGCTCTCAGAGCCATCACCAGCTCAAAGCAGGAGCTCAGGGAGCCTCGTGAGCGAAACTGGTGCCTGGTCTGGAAAGGGCAACGTCAGCTCAGCTGTGGAGAGTTTCTCAGTAAAGCTCAGTCACCCTGGTTAAATAACCACAGGAAGGAAGCAGATGGAATCCTCGTGCTGTACAGAGAACAAAGGTTTCCAGGGACCTGATGCTACAGGAGTTGTTTGATTCAGAAGAAAGAGGAGATGGAGCAAGTCAGCATTCCGGGTGGGATGGCTGCCTGCTCGTGGGGGACCAGCGTGGGAGAGGAGGTGGGGAGAGGCAGCTGAGCCCCTCTGAAGCAGAGCTGGGGAGCTGGAAGGACTACAGAGAGGGCTCCCAGCCCTGGTCACAGCTCTGAGCCGGGGGACATTCCCTGCTAGATTCCATGCAAGCCACATGCAAAGATGTCTGTGCCATTTGTCACCAAAACACAGGGATGTTTGTGTCATGACACAGATCTGGTGGGCAAAAGCATGTAAACACATCTTGTCTCTGACTAAACATACGTATCATGTCCGAGAAGATTTAGGAAATCCCAGCAGAAGCCATCTGGGAAAACAAAGGCAGCATCTCCCCTGGAGGAGTGACATTTCCAATGGAGGAGGAATCCCCGTGATTCATTTCTGACCATGTCCTCAAGCAACATTTTCCCATTGCTGGACCAGCCCTGTCCACAACAGCCTGTTCCTGCCAGGATACTCTGCTTAAATAAACCCTTTGGGGTTTTTTTCCCTGAACTGGGAGAGTCAGGGCGCTGTCACAAGTCATCCAAGTGAGTCCTGACACCTCCCTCCAGCCAGAATTCCAGCACCAGCATCACCCAGTGCCTCTCCAGGCTGCACCCTGACCTATGTAGGGAGTGGGCAGACCCTTTGGGTCCCAATATAAATTTACACATGCCAAAAATATCAGCTTTGGGGGGGGAGAACCAACAAAAAACAGTCTTTGAATGCAGCAGCATGGTGCCATCATAGACTGAAGCAGCAGTG